ATGGCCTGAGGACAATATTTAGTGTTTATATAGCATTTATAGTAATGATACTTCTAGATATATGCAATCGGAATACACCTGGACACAAAAGGGATTTTGGAAATAAAATCCTATTTAACTATTTGAAATATTCTAGACTGCATTCCAAATAAGATTCAGCTTTGGAAAACAGTGTCAGTTAAACAAAACGATGTAACTCTTGTACAAACAGAACAATTTAGGCACCTTTTATTTTTAACTTGTTATCAGCTTATTGATGGCTCTAGCAGAACAACTTGAACACTATTGTTTGGTTTGTTTGGAAATAATATTAATGATTGTATGGATCAATGTGGATTGTTTAATAACTGGAAGATCTCTGAAAATCACCACCAAGGAAGTATAAACTTGCACCGCATCTACCTTGGTCAGAAGGACTGTGCCCAAGCCTTTTAATAAACCCTGTCCAGAGTGCCACCAAAGAGACTGAAATATGAAAAATCCTAAATGCAAACAGACAACCAGAAAGGATGTCAGAAACTGCTTTTTTAAATGCAGAATGGTTTTTCATAGAGGAAGGAGCTTTGTGACAAGAATAAAGGACAGCCTGGGGGAAAGGGTGCCAAAACAGATTTTTAGCTCCCTGAGGGTAATGAGCAACTCCAGGGATCAGCTAGAATAATCAGGACTGAAAGGGGAAGTTGCATTCAGGTGGCTTTTTGTCATAGCTGTTTTTCTATACAGATCACCAAGTCTCACGGGCTAAGTATAAGGTTGTTATATATGTAAAAATGTCTTTGCAATATTTATTTCTAGGTGTAGCTCTCAGACACCCCCAAAATAGGGGCTGGACTCCCTGGTATACTTAAAATTAATGCACCTGATATCTTGGACCTACTATGACTTTGGAGATCAACTTTGAGGGATTTCATTAGGGACACTACTCGACAGCTCTTGAAGAACAGTTTTAAGACTTTCTTAACGGTATTAGAAAAGACATTACTATGTTGAAAGGTTATAATTATTTTTGTTTCTTTGTGTGTTTACAGGGACAAAGTAACCTAATATTTTCTTTCTAAACCACAGACATGTTAGTTTCTCATAAGATGCAGTATCTTTTGCTGCCTGAGCAAAATGAGAAATTTTGAAGCTCAGAAATGTACATACCAGAAAAACCATATAGTTGCACTCCTGAGAACAGTTTTTAAACAATTTTTGCATTCCCAAATCCACAAATGAAAGAAAACTACTGCCGATTATATATTCATTCAATCACTTTCTGTCTATAGATGGACCGCCTTTTTGCAATAGTCTGTCAAATCAATTCAAATGAAGTAAATATTGGCTATTTATAAAATCGAGTAAATATTGCGCAAATAGGATCTTTGATACTTGAAAGCAAATTTTTTCACAACTAGATATATGCAATTTGAGTAACTGCCCACAGTATGAAAACATTAGACTCTAAACATTGACCGTTCAAATGTTTTTGTAAAACACTGTGCATTTTGTCAAAATTTCTCTTTTAAAGAGAAAAAGAAAAGAAGAAAAGATAGGACAAACTGAGTGTCTTACATGTAATAATTTTCTACAATTCTGTTTGCTTTGTTTTAGTAAAAAGAAAATAAACACACCAAAGCCTATCATCAAATTTCCTAGCATTCCTATAACATAGCAAACTTTTCACCATTCTTGTAACAATGCTACCTCTATTTTAAGATTGATGAGGTTAAATTCTTTGAAACAGAAAATCTAATTTAAAACCAGCATAGTAATCAATTAATATTTTATACAACATCCCAGCTGTTTAAGATTAATTTTTGGCACCATGTTGCAAGTCTAAGTCAAACTTTTCTGACACAACCATATTCACAGGGAATTTAGTCAGTACTAGAATGAAAACAGATTTTTCCACACAGATTCTATTTCCTTACCTGTTGATGAAAAAAAGCCCTGAAAAGACTATTCTTAGCCATCCAAATCAACAACTGATTCTGTTTCAGAAAACTGGCAGAGTAGGATACAGTCTAACTTGTGCATACAATTTCAGATACCTTCTAAAGTAAGTGCGAATTCTTTATACTGTCAAAGGAAAGAACTTCATGCCTTTGAAGGCTTCCAAAAGGAAATTATGAAAACTGGGCCAGAAATACATTTTTTCCACCTCAATTGGAACAATTGTATTTGTAGAGAAGATCCTCATCTGAAGGCTTTTAAAGGCAAAGATCCCCTTACTATCTTAGGTTAGGTGGGAAAGATCTCACAGACCCTAAAACTTTCGAGGAAACTAATTAGAATGGGACAATAACATTTTCTGCGGAAGAGGTCCTCACGCTCGTAGATCTCACAGACCAAAGTGCTTCATGCAATTGAATAACCTGTTCTAAAAATACCTACATATATATAAATAAAAATATCTATGCATATTTAAAAATATCTGAGGTAACTGGCGGATGAAGTCGCAAAGCCACTGCCCATCATATTTGAGAAGCTGTGGCAGTCTGGCAAAGTTTCCACTGACTGGAAAAGGGGAAACATAACCTCCACTTTTAAAAATGGAAAAATGGAAGACCCGAGGAACTACAGGCCAGTCAGTCTCACCTCTGTGCCCAGCAAGATCATGGAGCAGATTCTCCTGGAAAGTGTGCTAGGGTACATGGAAAATAAGGAGGTGATTGGTGACAGCCAACACAGCTCCACTAAAGGCAAACTGTGCCTGAACAAATTTGGTGGCCTTCTACGATTGGGTTATAGTGATGGTAGATAAGGGAAGAGCAACTCATGTCATCTACCTGTATTTGTGCATGGCATTCAACACTGTCCCGCACAACATCCACATCTCTAAACTGGAGAGACAGGGGTTTGACAAACGGGCCCCCGGTGGATCATGAATTGGCTGGATGGTCGCATTCAAAGAGCCACGGTCAACAGCTCGACGTCCAAGCAGAGACCAGTGATGAGTGGCATCTCTGAGGGGTCGGTCTGGGACCAGTGGTGTTTAACATCTTTGTCGATGACATGGACAGCGGGATCAATTGCACCCTCAGCAAGTTTGCCAATGACACCAAAGTGTGTGGTGCAGTTGACATGCTGGAGGAAAGGGAGGCCACCCAGAGGGACCTTGACAGGCTGGAGAGGTGGGCCTGTGCAAACCTCATGAAGTTAAAGAAGTGCAAGGTCCTGCACCTGGGTCAGGGCAATCCCAAGAACAGCTACAGGCTGGGCGATGAGTGGATGGAGAGCAGCCCTGCGGAGAAGGACTGTGGGTGTGGGTGGATGAAAAACTGAACATGAGCCAGCAATGTGCGCTCACAGCCGAGAAAGCCAATCGCATTCAGGGCTGCATGAAAAGAAGCGTGGTCAGCAGGTCGAGGGAGGGGATTCTCCCCCTCTACTTTGCTCTGGTGAGACCCCATCTGAAATTCGAAGTATTAATTATGAACTTTACATTCCTGTATTACATAGAATCCAATTACTTGAAACACTGACTTTTTATTTACGTATGCTGTAGTACTTGACAGCTGTACAGTTGCAACTTTCATCATTGCTCAAATTTCTTTTCGAACTTCTACTGTATTATCAGTGTTCTCAACAGCTGTGCTGCATTTTTGACCTTACCTATTCAGTGTTACCCTCAACAAAGTGAGTATTTAGCAAGAAGCAGAAACTTATGCAATGTTTCAGCTGACTGTTACCTAAGCGATGTGCTAACACTAGCTATATTAAAATACATTTTATTTATTACTGTAAAATAAATACTTACTGAAGAGCTGCAAAATTTGTATTTCTGTTGTTTTCATTAGTGAATGAGAAGCAGATCACATGCCAGTTATGGGCACCAACCAGAAGGTAAATTAGAAATGTAAGTTCTTAAATGTGGGGTTTTTTTCCAATATCAATAAAAAGTGGCATTACTGTATTATCACCTGACCTCAGAAACATTTTTTCTCCATGTTAAGAGAAGCATTCCCAGATAGCACAGAATGATCTATAATTTGTTGTTTTACAGAATTATTCTTATTTCCTTAGCACAAAAAGTCTCACAAAGACATAACATTTCCAATTAAATGAAATAAATGGATTTCTTGAAAAAAGAAAAAGGAATGGTACAAACAGCAATCAAACAAAAGCTAAAAAAAAAAAAAAATCCCAGATACTTAATAATTTAATAACGAAGGAACTAAGGTAAGCAGCCAGTGGTGGCCAAGTTCTGTGAAACATACTCTGGAGGAATTGATAGTTTGCTCTTCATATTAATGAAAGGTAGAGTTTTACGGCTTATGAAAACTAATTTGACTCTCCTTCACAGTAGGACATCACTCTTGAAACTATTATTGCACACTTCAATTGCTTTTTAAATAAGGCCTTTGATAATTACATTTTAAAACTTTACTACTCTCCACAACAAAAAAAAAAACTATTTAAACACTTGAGGGGGTTAAAATCAAATTATGCCCCTACTGTTCCCACTTCATTAGTACTCCTGAGTCTTCTACAATCTGAAGTATATGCTTGAAATTTCCTTTTTACTTACAAGCTTCTTTTCCATGTGTTTTTCTGTACAGTGGCATCAACTAGCAATGATAGGTCACACATAATTACAGCTCCTGTACACTATTTCTTAGGGCTAGACATTTGGCAACTCATGTTTCTCTATGGAAAAGTTGCTCAAAATCCCTACTTGTCTCTTCTGGTTTGTCTCCTTATACAGGAGCTAATTATCAAGCTCTCTCAAACAGACAATCCGATAGCATTCACAAATGAAAGATTTGAGAATGGTAGCTGCCATACACTCTTACAAGCAAGAGTCCCGCTAAATAATATGTAAAGTGTAAAGAGAACATCCTATATCAGTACTAAGCTATAAGTAAGAAATTAACTTCAGAAAAGCACAAAGTAGTGGTTTTGTACACAAGCCTATTTAAAGCAAATGAAAATAAGACAAGTTTCTGCAATGGAAATACAAAAGTCCAGAAAAATAGCAAAGAGAACATCAAATAAGACAAGTAGAAATTTCTTACTGGTTCTTTCAGGCCTTTGAACAATCCTAGTCTTCTTATTCTGAATTCCACTTTCATGAAGTGCCTTGAACCAGTCTCTCAATCTGTTTGCAACCTCCCTGAATTCCAGGTCACTGCACACTGAAAAACAAAATGCAGAGCTGTTTAATATTTTTCTCCTCAGTGCTAAATAGAACTTTTCAAACTATGCTAAACATAGTTTGTAAATACAAAATAATATGAACAGTTTGTAAAATACAAAATAATATAAACAGTTTGTAAAATATAAAATAATATAAACATGTATGTTCCACAGTGTTCTTTAGTTCATAAAGTTCAGTTTCATTACTTAGGTATACCTTCAAAACCCAATTAAGGTCCTCAGAAATAAATGCCTGATGGATAAAGCAATTATGGTATTATATATATCTAGAAATTAAAAACATCCTTTGCAAACCACTGCAAACTACTATAAACAGTACTAGCACAGATATTTTCTCATCTCATTGTAGATGAGACTGTATGGCAGAAACACCCATGACAGTCTTTCAGTTTCATTTCAACGTTCATTAAGGCAACAGCAATGAAAGCCCTACCAGAACAGTCTGGAGATGTGATTTAGACAGATAATGCAGGAACACCCAACTTGCTTTCCTATGCTGAAGCACAAAAAGTCGAAAAAGGTTTGACAGAGAAAGAGCTTCAAGGGTGTCCCAAAAGCTTATTTGATTGAATGTAGTTTTACAAGCCAACATTCGTGAGCACCTAACTGCAAAAACAGGCAACCAACCGTACAGCTGCTTGGTGACAGAAAGGGTGGCTTCGTTGACCAGAAACAGCAAAGGCAGAAAAAGCACGCAAGACCAAAGACAGCACCTGTAGCACTAAGAGCAGCAAATTAGTAGCAGGCTGGCTGAAGTGTTGTACAGTACTGGTAATAAGCACTGAAGCCAGCAGCAGAAGCAGATAATAGAAGCGTGATGAGGAGGCCTAGTCACATTCACTATTAAGCTGCTGGAGAAGACAGAGAAAAGGTGTGCTTGGGGCAAGCAGATAACCCTTCCAGAACTCTGTTTTCCCATTTCATGTATTTTAGAGAAGCTGAGAGAAGACAAGAGAAATAATATGATCTGGAAGATGACAAAAGCAGAAAATGCACTGGATGTATGCTTCCGTAGGTAACAAAATACCTTCCACTGCACTTGTCAATAGTTACCAGTTCCAAATCAGGATAGCTTTCCAGGTCTGGCAGTAACTGACTAAGGTACAATTTGAAGAGCTCGTATCTAAGTTAGCAGAGCTTCACAGTGACGTTCTTGAAAATAAATCTTCGGTTCAGCTTACTTTTCCTTTATTATACAGCAATCCATAGCATTTGGTGACATAGCCTTCAGCTCACCTTATTAAATTGAACAATACTGTGAAACACCTATTTGTATTTTAGAGTAAGATTGAAACTTCATTATGTCAACAACTATCAAAGTCTGTACAACAGGAGGCATGTAAGCATTTGTTTATTCATTCTTTGCTGAAGTCTCTCTGAGACTTTGACTCTCTCCATGAAAGACTTACGGCGCAATCTATACATATATTTGCATATATTATGAACTCACATTTTTATAAAACTTGTACTGTGCTCTTCTGTTGTTTATTAGAACAATTTTTTTTTTTTAATAATTCAACAGCAAACTTTGGAAATATTTTTGTTAAGGATATATGTGCATGTATGCTCAAAAATGTCATATCACAACAACTGGATGAAATTGGTCTCTTGAGCCAAGACTACACATCATAATTCAAACTCGTGGGATTTTATGTTTGCTACAATGACACCTTCCTTTACTAATCCTTGCACCAGCTGACAAGTCAGAATAAAGAATCAGATATTAACTTGGGACACCCTGCTCCTCTTTCTCCTCCCATGACAGGTCAAATAGAATAATATTGTTCCCTTCTCTAACTACCCTCCCTGGGTTAAGAGGAAGACATTTAGAACTGAATCAAAGGGTATGGAACACAGCACAATCGTGCGGGGTAGCTGACCTGCCATCTAACCACTTTGATTTATCTGTCCTGCACAATATTGTATAAACAGCACCACAGGTCCCAGAAACAACATAGCTACATTAATGTGGTGCACTGACCTTGCTATTTTAATCGACTTCTAACTTGTGTATACACAGTGGTACTGTGATTAACCTCTGATGCTGAGGTGACCTACTCAGAGCCAGCACATAAGCTCATTTACAGGCACATGCATATATCCATATATGCACACACGTATATAAAAAGGAGAACGTGAGGAAGTGCCAGCTACAAGTAAAAGCTTAGCTTGAATAGCATTAACAGAAGACGCACATGGCAGCTGCATGGTGGAGAGGATGTATGAATTCCTCCTCTCTGTAGAAGCAGCCAAATAGACACACTGAAGCTAATCATCTCCTAAGCTCATTAAGATGTAAAAACAAAGCACTAAGAAAATGAGATGGGGCCTCTTTGGCTATTAGGTGTAAGAATAAAGTAGAATTTGCTGTTTCTGCACCTGGTACTAGCCACTGTCATGCACAATACGACATAAAATGAATTGCATGTGAATTGCATTCCTTTCAAACTGGAAGGTACATATGGCACATTTTGGGCACCAGATACAGTCTATATCAGATCTCAGATTAGGGGCATTCTTGCAACTTCAACTCCTTATAACCCTTTTCTAAAACGTTGCTTGACAATTTAAATTATGGTTTTTATCTCAAAATAGAAAATGAGAAAATGGTAATAATTTCATGTAATGATTTTGATAACTTTATCATGGTAATAGATCACCTTAAAAAAAAAAAAAAATCAAGGCGATCCAAACCAAACCGATTAAAACTGTCATTTGCCTATTTTATACCCCGTAGCTACTCAAGTGCTGGAGTCAGCTCTCAAATATGGCAGGTAATTACATTTACTGTATTATTAATACAAACGCACAGCAAATTTTTGGTTCATGACATTTCTAATATGTTAGGTAAAAGTAGATGTCTTCTATATGTGAAATATACATGAGAGATGCAGCAGAACTACACTAATCCACACACTTAATAATTTACATGGACAAACTGTATTCTCGGCAAGGATTTAAAGCACGGGTTTATGACAATGTCTCATATTTCAACATGCAAGTGTCACAGTTTTTTATCCAAGAACATTTAGTCCATTTACTAGCATATCAGAAAAAGATTTAAATGGTAGAATCAGTCAGCAAATTAGAATTCTTGCCATGAAACTTTAATTTCCATTTAATTTCCATGGAGTGCTTAAAATATGTTAAAATTCTGAGTTCGCTAAATAACAACCAAACATGCAATGTAATTTTGACTGCTGATAAGCAAAATACACTGGATTTTTTTTTTTTCTGGTTCCCACTCCCCCACCCTTCTTTTTTTCCTTCTCTGTTTTGGAATTTTCCATTGAGAAATTTAAGTTTCACTTTTCATTATACTATTTTCCAGAATGCTTTTCAAGATCTAGCTATCCTAACATTAAAATAGCAGAATAAGAAGAAAAAAAAAATAATTAAGAATTTATTTTTCATTTTCTGGTTCCTGTTAGATGGTTTTGGTCAGGGCTACTTAAGGTAATTCCCCATCATCTGCTGTCAGTATTCATTCATTTCTGTGGTTACTCTTGCATACGGTCCTTTCTAAATACTCTGTCACATGCTATTGTTTGAAGCATTTCAGAAACATAAAATAATCTGATGAAAGTAATTAAGTTTTTTGTATGTGATTACTGGGGAAAAAAGCCAGTACTTATTAGAACATGATATTTTATACTGGAAAATGACAAAACAGAAAAGAGATTTACGTAAGTATGTAAGAACACAGGGTATTAGTAGTGGCAAACAGACCCTTAAAGTAGTACAGCTATTCTATAGTTAGAGATTAGCATCTCAGCACCTTTGGGCAAAGACCTCCCATTTCCTAGGTTATTAGGTACAATGTGCTTGAACTACCTTAAGCCATGGCAGTGGCAGGAAAGCTGCACTCACTACCCTGTCAGGTAACACAGAAGCAGAGGACTAGTGGCTTGACAGAGGAATTTTCTCAAAGGAAAAGATTGAATCTTGTGACAGTTCCCAAAGGTAAATCAGGTAGTAAAACCCCAGTTTGGTCCTCTCTCTAAACAGACGTGAGCCAAAACTTGACAGAAAACAACCACCACATACACTTCTTTCTTCACACACAATGGTGTTACAATATATTTTATGTAAGTAGCAGTTCATGTGGCATCTAGAAAGTCAACTTCTTAACATCAAATTTGCATAATATTTTCTTAATTAAAATTATGCATTTGTATGAATTAGAAAAGCTCTAAAATCATAGTTTTTTCAAGTTTGGGGTTAAACATGAATATATTTACTGCTTCAAATATTGTACTTCTAAATATACTATGATTGGTACTTCAAAGATATTCCAAATAAATTTAATTAGTATTAACGCAGTACATGAAACAGGCCACCTTGCATGAACCTGTTTCCACATTAAGTTATAAACATATAAAACCAGAAATTGCGTATTAGCTTTTTTGTGTGTTCTTACATCAGGAAAATAATCTGGAAGTTGCTCTACATCTGTCATACATATACATAGCAACTTACAAAACTGAATATAACACTAATGTTATATGGTAGAAGCCATATTTTACAAATTTCCATTAAAGTGTTTTTTGTATGGTATGTATGAATAGCTAAAAGCAAATTCCAGGGACAATTCAAGACAAGTGTTATTCTTTAACAGCTTTTTGTACAACTGAACTACAGTTCAAACTTATTCATAAGAACAGGGGCTACCATAAGCTAATGTGTCATGCATATTGCTTGTTTTAATGTTGATTCAAACCTTAACTTAGTTTTTATTTGGATCAATCTGATCAGACCACTCACCATCCCACAACATGTGTAAATCAGCACATTGAGCAGTCATTCTCAAGTTATGAAAACAGCATAATTTCTGGCTTACAGTGCAAGAATCATACTCAGGTACAGTCTAGGGGGAAATTTTGCCTTAAGAACTTGTATATGTAGTGCAAACTTCAAGTAGACTATTGAATAATAAATATGGCCTAAAATTAGCTATGTTTCTCTATCAATCTGCTGA